CGGGTCACGTGACGCTATTAGCTCTGCAGCCAGCGTGAGCTCAGCTTTCTGCAGCTCTGTAGCTACAAACATTTCGGATGCTAGCTAGCACCTAGTCCTGTGATTTGTATATCCTCCGAGTCATCCTCATACATTAACTTCACAACAAGTATTTTCTAAAAGTCTAATCTTAGAGCTATATAGCACAGGGTTGCGCTGTTGGCTATATTAGGACGTTTTCTCTGTGCTAGCTAGCCAAGGTTAGCGCGGTAGCTAACGGTAACATCAATATGAATATTGACAACGTTAATCAATCTGTCACAACTGGAGTGTCCTCCACGACTTCTTCAACTTCAAATAACTGTATCGTAAACGACAATGCAACAACCAACGTCAGCAGCATCCCCTCGCTCACGAGTAATGGTAATTATGTTACTTTTACTAGCTCAATGTTATTGTCCGTGTTATTGCGCTCACCACTTATTTTAGTTTAAGGTAGGATGGCTACTTTATTTCTACTTTAGATGTTTGCCTGTGACTAAATATATACACTGTCATGTTTGGAGTTATGCGTTGTCATGTTTCGAGTCTTTGAAGCCCTACTTTTCCAACAAGGTTTGGACTTAGCCCAAACCTTTCTTTAGGTGATACTGATAAACACCATTTTCTGGACGTATGATCTAATTATTTAAAAAATGCACACGATATGTATATCATTTTGTTGCTTTCATTTCTAATGAATCCATCCCTGTATTACAGCTTCAGCCTCTGCGGCCATGGTGACCCCATCAGCAGACTCTGTCTCTAACGGTGTGTATGTTCCTGGCGGCATCACCAATGGAGATGTGAAGCCTGCCCTGCCCACCATGCCGCTGGCAGACTTCCTCATGCAGCTGGAGGAGTACACTCCCACGGTAAGTCAAGTTGTTTCAGTCAGCTTACTAAATGCTAAACATACAGTCGTAAATAAGCAGAAACAATATAAGGCGCTGTGTTAAGTAGGATATATGAGCTGAGGACGGATGCACTCACACAAACATAAGCACAAACACACAACCAAACCCATTATCTCTATCCAAATATTAAAATAGTTGTCAATATTCAATTGACAATCATGACAAATTCATATGCTCCTAGCTTTGGTAAACATGTTATTTAACTGGCACTCCCCTCCTTAGACAGTAGCTAAGTTAGTTTCTTCAGTGGCCAGAGACTGTACCAGTGTTCTAGATAAAGTTAATTTGCTGAACATCACGGAATGACCAACATACAGTAATAATGTTCTTCGCAGTTAAAGTGGGTTATATGAAGTTTGACCACAAACTGAAGTCTGCTCTTTTTTCCCTCAGATTCCTGATGCAGTTACAGGTTACTACCTCAACCGGGCTGGCTTTGAGGCTTCCGATCCAAGAATGTAAGTGGCGTGATTATGACTGTGCAGAAATGCTACCTCAAATCTTGAGTTGACTGGTAGTAGTGCTGTTTTTCGAGTTGAAGGGCAGGCACAAAATAAAGTGGAGTCACTATATATAAGCAATCAATGTATCAGTCTATTAAGCTTTTTTTTGTATTACTTTTTTTATTTTAAGAAAGCTGAGATGATAATTATATTGTATTGCAGCAGCCTCCCCCACACTCTGGAACTCCCTCCCCAGCCACGTCAGATCCGCCAACACTCTCACATCATTCAAACAATCCCTCAAAACTCACCTTTTCACTCTTGCCTTCAACTCCTAATCAATTAACCCCTTGCCCTTATTCCACCTAGCTTAGCACTTTCTACTTTTGTTGTTATTTTGTTTTACTTGCTTGTAAGCGCTTTGAGCACCAGGAAAAGCGCTTTATAAATGTAATGTATTATTATTATTGTTATTAAACCTACCTGGACATCAAGAAGCTGTTGTTTACCTGTAAACTGATATAGAGTCAGTACCACAACCTATATTCCATTCATATGAGCATAAAGTACAGACTCTTCAGCCTAGTCAACCATGTATTGTCACCTTTATGATGGTTGCTGCAATGATTTTTTTGGACACGAGAAGGGAAGATGCATCTGACCTCCATCTGACTTACTAGTTTCTAATTTGAGTTTCTGGGTATAGACAATTAAAAGCACAATAATGATTTTCTTTTTCATTTCTTTAGAATCCGTTTGATCTCCCTTGCTTCTCAGAAGTTTATCTCAGATATTGCCAACGATGCGCTGCAATACTGTAAAATGAAGGGAACTGCCTCAGGAAGCTCGAGGAGTAAGACAAAGGTTAGTGCTACTTTTATTTTTTACATGTGCTTTAAATGTAATACACGCATACATTATTTTGATTGGGCGATGTGCGAAATAATATGTTCTTCCTGATAAGTAATAACGTTTTGTGTTTCTTCTTCTCTACTTATAGGATAAGAAGTACACTCTGACTATGGAGGACCTGACTCCTGCCCTCACAGAATATGGCGTGAATGTCAAGAAACCATATTACTTTACATAGAACTGTCTTTCTTTAAGGCGTTTTGCTTTTGCTAGGTTTATCTCCCTGCTGACCAACTAGAGTCTGTCAACACCTTTTTGCTTAATGTTTTTTTTTTATCATGGTGCTTTAGTACAGCTTTGACACATATTTGTAGTCCCTTTGCCATTTGTTATTTTTGTGGAGCCACCTTTGCATTATGTTTAATTGTATGATTGTTTTATTGTGAAAATAAAACCTTTAACAGAAACCTTTGTGTGTGAGATGTTGGATGTGTTCAAATACAGCCCCTTTTTTAGTATTATTTGAACCAAAGAGATGTAGACATACAATCGGCAACATAGCAGCGAATACAAGTTATTAAGATAAACCCATATACGTATAAGGAGTGGTAACTCGTGTGTAAAACTAATAAGGCACATTCAAAAACATGTTAAGTCAGTATGATTTCCAGCTTCTTTGTGTCCTGTAAACCTGGAGGACAGGGGTACTCATTTCTGCATTCTGCTGTTAAACTTTACTAATAATTACATTGATCCAAGAGGAGTTGATAAAGCTATAGGAAGCAAAAAGCTTTATAAATTAGGAGTTACTGCACAATTAATCAGGAAATTACCGTATTATGAAAATGGTGTTATTCCTTTGGCTTTTCTATATCTACATGATTAAAGTTAGTTTACTATGATACAACACCGAAGCGGATTTACCATACCCTTTTCGCGATGGCAGTATTTTGTCCCAAACTGCGGGCCGTAGTACGTCTCTCCTGAGCCACCGTAGAATCGAAACGGCGCATATGCTCAGCATTCAAATGATTCTCGTGTTGTCCTGCTAAAAAACATATTTTATTTAGTCTTAAGGAGCAAGGAAAGTGTCACAATGTCTGTCCAAACAACAAATGCCAGCAACCCGATTGTCTTCTTCGACATAACCATCGGAGGACAGGTGAGTAGAAGAAAGAAATGAGCTAACATCGATTTGACTTCCAAGCTACCAACGTTGAAGCCACGTTAGCTCGCCTTAGTGTCGTGTTTTGGTTAATAGTTTTGAGCCAGTTAGCTACGTTGGAGGTTTTTAACCGCCTTTCTTTACATATATCTGATACACACAACAATGTGCAGATACTTAATTTCTCTCTCGCTGTTTTTATTGTGTTGACTTTTAGCTATAATTTACTTTGCTTAACACTGTGAAAAGAACCTGTCTGAGATATGATGCTATTGCTAAGGCATTATTGATATCAAGATGTCGTTCAGTGCGTGGAAATGAACTCTAATTCTTAATCCTATTCCTACATCATAAATATTCAAATATTTGTCTTAGACAGGCAGTACGGTTGCTATATGGACGCAGGTGGTGCTGGTTGGAAACAAGTGTGGTGGATGAAGTTTAAACTACGTAATAGTTTTCTGGAGACACGAAAACAACTTTTATTACCAAATACTATACACGACCCTCTGTGAACAATATAATCTGTATTTAATTATTCGAAAATGTCGTTTGTTCATTTAGTTTCAAATGGTTTATTCGTTTTTTAAATGGTGATATTTGGGAAGATATAATTATTGAGTTGCATATTCTTTTCATTTACACTTCTACTTGTAATGCTATGTTATCAGCTATGATATTAAATAATGTAATGTCTCACTTCACAATGAAAGTAGTTTTTAACAGGCGTTGCTGAAAGGTTTTGTTAAAGTAATTTAACAAAGGAATATAAGAGTAAGACTAATATACACTGTTAGAATAACTAGCTTTGGGCAGGTGACTCTATAATGTAAACCCACAGATATTCTATTTTCTTCCATTTATGCAGTTTTATACAGGTCTATAAAGGCAATGTTTTTCACCTTTTACTTCGTCCGTAGCTTTCTCTCTATATTCACTTTTTTAGTGATCGTCCTCCTCGGGTTTGTTGTAGCACTTGTAGTCCCACTCCCCTGAAACCAGTGAGAAGAATCATGTAACTTTGACAGAAAGCTGAGTGTTGATGTAGGACCTTATTGCTCATAGTAAGATGCTGACAAATACATTTCCAGGCCCTTTTAATACATCTATATACTCCAAGTTATTTGTAGTATGAAATACATTTATTTCAATTATGACAAATTAGGAAGTCTCCTTACAAGGTTGATGTAGCTGTTTTGTAGCTTTTAATTAATCACTTGTAACCATGACGTTTTACTTCCGGTGCATTTTTAAGGTTTTTCGTCCATGCTGGATTAGGAGAGGAGGTTTGAAGTTCCTCACCTTGGAAACTGCAGCTTGAAAACAAAGTCTAGAAGCTTTCGATCACATGTAAGGTCAAGAATACATTTCGGACCTACATTTTCGGGAGAAAATCGCTAAACATGAAATGTATCTGTTATTTACAAAGGTAGAAAGAAAATCAATGCTCAGTTAAAGAGTTTTAGGATATTTATTGAGAAGCATTTATACCCATTATGGACCAAAGTGAAAAATAAGTGAATATAAATAAGTCAACATAGCATTTCCATCAAATATAATCTTTGAAAAAAATATAAAATAGAACATTTATGTAAATCCCAATATATTTACAAAACTTTATCATAATTATCATCATAGTTTTCATAAAAAATTGTATCCCAACTCTTCAGAAAACATACATATTTGTAAGTCCATACATATTTATAAGTCCAGTCACATGTCCATTTCGAGTTTTTGCAGTTACAGTTTGTCCTGAGAGGGCCTTTATTAGACATTAATCGAGTCGACATTGCCTGAATGTTCGGCTTGCTTAGAATTCAGACCAGCTTTTTCTAGGCAGCAGTTTATGCATATGTGCCAGCTCTAACCACTGAGCTATCTGGTGGCCCAGTTCTCTTTAATTGTATTTGGTTACACACAGCTACTTGGAGTTCCTGCTGTTGTGTTCCTTTGCTTAGCTGCCAATAAACTTGCCACAAGCAAATATTTTCTGGGAGATTGCTGTATGGTCCTTGCGTCTTGCTATTTATCCAGAACACCAGACCCACCAGTAAACTGTTCATACACTCCAACCACAGAAGGTTTACAGTGATGTAAGCAGGTACTCCAAAGTCCAAGATCAGACACGCCACGGAACAGATGAGATAAGGCATCCAAAATAAAGCAAAGCCCAGTGTGAAGGTGAGCCACAGAGGCGGGCCCGGTTGGACAGGTTCCTCCAGATAATATTCCTTGCTGCTTTTTGTCTCCGCGTAGGTGGTTGAGGTGAACAACAAGTCGCTGCTCTGGTTGTCTGGTTCGTCCCTCGCTTCAGATAACTTATGTGCCTGTTTCACCCACTGGGGAATTTTTGACCAAAAGGGCAGCAATGTAAAAATGACAGCTGAGAAAAGCACTAAAATAGAGTAGGTTATCAGCGCAGACTCCTCTACTTCACACACTAGAGCCTTATTCTCTATCTCAAAACTCTTTCCCTTTAGATCAGAATCAACAGAACCAAAGGTTAGGTAAATAGCAATCATCCACATCAGCAATAACCAAACCGAGTTCCTTATGAATTTGCACGTGGCGCTCTGCCTTCCAAGGTAGGTACCTTCTAAAACGTAGTCCAATAAACCCAGGCACATCATGGGCAGCGGCAGCACTCCATATGTCACAGACGCATTGGCGAAGATTAAACAGAGTGACACGTGACACGTTTCAGGCCCAAGAAACAACATGCTTGCTACTAAGAACACCATGACAAAGTCAGCCAAGAAGATGGACAGGCTGCACATGCTTAAAAAAGAGGTATACAGCTTCCTGGTGCATAAATACATTACTGCTGCGTCTAGTCCGAACTTTATAAGCATAAGCACAAGATACATTCCAGTGTTGTCCACACCCGGTTGCGCGAGTACGGCCAGCATTTTTCAGGTTTTGTGAGTTTCCAGAGACTTTGCCTACTCAGGCAGCCTCTATGTTATTGCACCGGTCCGCTGTTCAGTTTCACGAGGCTGTAGAAGACAAGATAATATTGGTTAGGAACTTTGCTTATACAAATAATAGTCTGCAATTAATAATTAGAAAACATATTTTTATTAATGGCTGAGTAAATGCCAGGAGATTTAAAAAGCATCCTGATCATGAAGCATATCATGTTGTATAAATCTACTAAGTAGGTGATGATCTCAATATCAGTCATACTAATTATAGTGTCTTTTGCTGTATGATAAAGTCCCTGTGCTCTTTTGCCATGAGGTGTTCTCATAAGATGTGAGCAGATGTTTTTTGTCACATGCGAGGTGTCTCACCTCTGCTAGAAAGCTCTGTCAGTATCACTCAACACTCCATACAAAGGTAGATGTACAAAATGTTATTAGGTTTTGAGAGGTGTTTTTACTCCTTAATCGCTGCTCATATTTTATCACTTATAATGAAGTACTTCATGAAATTGAACGGAAACAGATTGCATTGGATTTGTAAAGGCGTGCTCCTGTCACCAGCTATAGTTAACTATTACCTATTAGTCCCAATCATTATCACACCCTTCACTTCAGATATACTTATAATTGTCCCGACATATTTGTTTTATCCGTTTCTTCCAAAGCAGATAAACAAGAAACCAGTCAAACACGACTGCTCAGTCAGTACAGTTTACTGACAATTGTACTTTTGCAACATCTTTTACTTGCAACATCTCCCTTCAAAATTAATTATTTTGACTTTTATCCGCACAGTTTAAATGCACTATTCGGCTCTCAAATATGTTGTATTCTGGCTGAAACATGTCATGTCACTTATAAAATCAACATCTTACAGCCATGGAAAAATCAGTGACAGGAGAAGCAATTTCTGCCATTTGAAGCACCTAGAATTAAGGGCACAAGTTGAAATAATCAAAGTGTGACCCCCAGATGTTGGTACTTCTGTGCTCTGGGGCCTCATTTATAAAGGGATATACGCTCAAAAAATGGCGTACGCCAGTTTCTACGCAATGTTTGCGATTTATAAAATACTAACTTGACGGGAAAATGTGCGGTCCTCCACGCAAACTCTAACCCATGCGTACGCACTAAGCACACAAACGGGAGAGACGAGAAACTGCGACACCGTTGGCAGAAGGAAGAATGGAGAGAAATATGTGGAAATAATACCATAAATAAAATGTTACCTCTCATTTATCAAATATGAAGAATTCATTTTCAAACATTGATTAAAGCCAATCTTTAAATGATTAAACAAACGCCAGTTTGAGACTCCTCAGTGCACACAAAAACATAACTTGGAGAAATAAATAAATACGGATATGTTATTTAAAACCACCTCGAATATGTTGTGTTAATGTTATGAAATGTTTTCTCATAAATGATGCGGTAAGCAGGGGGACAGAATTACGTCTAAACTGACGCCGTTTTGCATTTCTATAGGTTGTAGATACGAGCATGGTTTTATATACTATCACGTTTAATCGTGTTTTATGCCGTTTGCCAAGACTTGATAAGTCGCTCGTAAAACACAGGAGGTATGGAAACTAAGAACACCATATGTGGTAAATTGTACAGCTAATATAACACAACACATTAGTTGTATTTCCTTTAACTGGTGGATTATGGATATATAGTTGCTGATCGACAGCTGGAACACAAACCACCAAATACAACAAAAATAATTCAGATCCAGTCGTCATGACTCCACTCCGGAGGGATTCCCCCATCATTTCTTACAGTTTCTCATCAAGGGGGTGTCTCCTGTCCCCGGGACAAACACACTGCATGAGGAAGGTTATGTGTATTTGTTTTGTCATTAACTTTTTTCGGACCACTTATTTATTTATTTTGGTGACGATCCGACCTCCATGCTGCTACTCTGGTTCAAACTGCATCCACCAAACAATATGATTTATCTCGACCTCCCCACAATAACCAAAATCTGACACGGTGTGATATGTCTTTTTTAGCTGTTCTATCGTAATTTCCTGCGATCTTCTTCATGCAGTCAGTCAAAATGAATGAATGAATGGGCGTTTCTTTGACTATGTATAGGCAAATATGGGCGTTACGAGTCGATTGTGATTTATCAAGGGAAACAGGCGTAGGGAGTGCCGTACGCACTTCCCTCGCCGGTACGCAACGTTTTGTGAATCGGAAAATGGCGGAAAATTTATGTACCTATTTTTGTGCTTTGTACTACGTAAGCAACCTTCCTACGTCAATCCTACGCAAGGCGTTATAAATGAGGCCCCTGGTGAGTTTCAGTAGAGAACCGGTCAGCATGCTTTCATCAGACGTCAGACGGTTGTCAGGTGGAGCAGCTCCTTTTTCAGGCAGCGCTTTATGGCTCCACCTTACCTTTGTAAATTGATGACACACCCTATCTGTCTTGAATGAAGCCTGCTTTCCCTCCCGACCTGTATGGTGGGTCTGCCTGTTGTTATGTCAATTTGCATGTGCTGTTCCAGGTTGGCAGGTTGGAAACCCAGCTTTTACTAACAATACTTCTAGATGAAACCGCACCACAAGACTAGATTACTTTCCCTGCACCAGATACTAAGACAAGTCCACTATTTTGCATAGAAGGAAGATACAACAAAGGTTAAATGATGGAGGCCTAAGGTTGCTTTCTAGATAAACTTGTGTTTAGTACTAAAACACATGTACATGCAGGCATTTACTGAATACCTCAGTCTAGTCTCATTGCTACACTTGGCCTCAGACTACTGTTTTTAATTACGTGTACAGAAACATTTTTGCAGCTTTGGTGTACAAGTTTTAAAGCAGTGTAAGTAAAAGTACGTCTTTTCACATTTTATTTGATTATTTATCTTTACAGTATAATAGCCTCTCAAAATAGCTCAAAACAGTCGCCTAAAAATGTAATTTTATTAAATGTCGTTACAGAACTACCAGCCTATAAGAGTGAGGCTACAGTTAAACAATCAGACTTTTTAATAATCTGAAATGTCGTTATTGACTTGGCTCCTGTAAAATGATTTTTCAAAGTGATTAGTCGACTTGCACCTGCAGCTAGTTAACATAATGTTATCTGTCAAATAAAAAATGGGGATAAGTAAATGTATTTCAGCTTGTAATAGAGTCTTGGCTTCCTTTGTTTGCTAAACGTTCAGGTACAAAGTTGCCACAGAGGCGTTAAAGGTGTGGTAGATGTGGCTGTCTTCGTGTTCCTGGAGTTTGTACTCCTGACCAGGACTTTAGGTGAAACCCCTGTAAGTCAGTTCAGTCCTTTCCTCATCTTCCTTACATGTTTTGTTTATGTTTCAAGGGATCCAAAGTAGGTGTTGTCCCCCGAGCACAGCAAAAATAGAACAAGATACACTAATCAAAATATAGGCAAAATGTTTTCTTCTTAATATATATTCTTAGCTCGTACCTGTTGTTAGACGCATCGGTGAACACCGCAGCAGATCTCTGTTTGTTCTGCACCAACACTTTGCTTTTGTATTTCATGCCATTGACTAGAAACTAAAAACATAGTGTATTGTCTGAAAGCAAAAGGCAGGAGATCCAATGGCAGCTTGTTTGGCTGTGGGTGGTTTGCATTGACTGGAGGGACAGTTGTGCAGTGATGTCATGGGGACAACCGCTCGATTGAAAACAGCACAGTGTTTGTTCTCATGCAGATGCAGACACGCGGACACTGTGGCTGACAGTCGGCCTCTTGCAGGTCCCTCAGGGCTGTGGGAGGCCCGGCTGGACAGACACCCTCGCTGCCAAACTCATGCACACTAAGCTTATAGAGGATTTCATGTGATGCATTCAGATTGTCTTCTCATTTACATCTTACTATTACGTATGCTTTGACCATTGGGAATTCAAATAACTGAGACAGAATAGCTTGTTTTGTTGAGATTAAGCCAAATCTACTCGATGGTTTCAGGAAGGAAATGTTGTTTAAGGCAAGGGGGAGAAGGGAGAAGGACGAGAAAAAACCCCAAACCAGTTATTCAGTAGAAGTGATACGAGGTGCTGTTGTTGAGTCTTGTTGGTGTAACTGGTAAGTCCAGATGAGACCACCTTTTTCATAGAGAGGAGCATCAGGTCAGAAACAACCTGTTCCTATACAATGCAGGTCAACCTGAGGAGGGAACTGGGGGTTTCTGTTTTCCTTGTTAAGCTCTTGGTTTTGTGTGTTTACCTGCTCATGTCAAGTTTTTTCTCAATTTTCTTTCTCAGGATGTTGGACGGATGAAGATTGAGTTGTTTGCCGATGTGGTTCCAAAGACAGCAGAGAACTTCCGGTAAGGAGAAAGTCTGCCTCACATAGTCTGGTTTCTCACATTTTAGAAAAGAGATACCACAGGTAGGGCTGTCAAAGTATCAGATTTTCACTACTTAATTGAAATCGTGGCCAAATTTGTTTAGGGTACTATATTATTGAAAATATATAGAAAAATTGGGGGGAAATTATAATGGCTCCATTCAAATTCATATTCAACTTTGCTTTATTGTATGTTTTATTTCTTTTTTTGGCAGATGAATACAAAGATAAGTGTCTAGAGATGGAGAGCAAGTCTGTTAAAATAACTGTACAAAAGCATAAGAAAACAACACTAATGGATAGGGTAAAGGCAATCAGAAGGTGTAACATATCCAAAACAAAATGATCTTGTATTTCTAACATGATATCCTTATTTATGTTCCGTCAATACCAGTGTATCCCTTCTGCCCTATTTGTACTGCATATGTTAACACCAATGAGACCATTTCTATTATATATGGCAATATGCTATTATGAGACTATTATATAACATGTTCCTTACACTTTCATTTTCTCTTACAGGCAGTTCTGCACTGGAGAGTTCAAGTAAGTCCGTGAAGAGCTGTATTCTTTGATGGTACCCAACTTCACCATCCTGCACACTTTGTCTTAACGTGCACTTAAAAGCAATCTAATTCTTACGAGCACCTTTCAGGAACCTTATCATTGATCAGTAGACCCGGAAGACTTTTCCTTTTGATCAGATTGAGGGATACTTCGTATATGCTCAAACAGGTTTCTAAAGGGTATTTACACGTGTGCCGGTGCATGACAAAAAGCCAAGATGTAAAATCAGCGCTGTGGCAGGGATGCGGCAGATGAAAGGATACATTTTACCTCCTGAAGCTCTGCTTCATTTTATACAAAAGAATAAAATCATGTCGAGAATAGTTGTTTTATTCTGAAAAACGCCTGTAAAATTCCATCTCATGTACAGTATGAAAACCTGTGTGCTCTGCTTGGACCTCTGCACAATCCTTCAGCTGATATATCGTACGTAGCTTAGAACTAATGTGCAGATTTCAGACGAAACAGCACCTTGGGCCACAACCTGCAGTAAAAAGAAGAAGGCCTGTACAAAGTGTACCAACAAAGTGAATGGTACAGTCTTTATTATTTCAAAGCATGGATTGGCTTATTTAAACAAAGCCAAAGGAAAAGTTTTTTTTCTCAATATTTTCCTTATTTACTGTCATGTAAACAGAGATAATTTGGCTTAGACAACATAATGGGAAGTTTGATTAAAGGATAAAATTGCTAAATTATTAGGATTTATTTTAAAAGAACAACTCTGTTTTCAAAAGAAGCTTTTAACCTGCAATATTTGGTGCGGGAGGAATATATTAGACTAATTAACAGGACCAGGTGCTATTTATGCAACCAACATTGTTTTCATGGTGTTCCCATGTACAAAGAAGATAGGCTCTCCATACACACTAATAATTCAACTTAAGAGACTTTATATGCACCCCTGAGCAGGCGAAATGTTAACAATGTTTAGTGATTGTCACAAACATGGACAGAACTGCCCTGTGTGAGTTGATATTTTGTAGCAGAAAACAGCATGATTGTCTTTACTGACAACCTCATTTTGTTTTGAAACTTCTGTCCCGCAGGAAGGATGGAATCCCTATTGGTTTCAAAGGTTGCCTCTTCCACAGGTACACATTGATTTTAAAGCACACATTATTCTTCCACTTTCACAATGATTTTAGAGTTATTATTTAACCTGGTTTTCTACTGGATCAGCCTGCTTGGTATCCGCTGTAGTTTGTCCCTGTTTGTCTGTATACTTATATTTATACAACATGCACATGAATGGTTCTGGACAACTAATTAAATAATAGCTCTTAGATGAGCCATTTGAAGTTTGAAAATGATTCTAGTTAAATTAATTCTAGACTTAAATCCAGGATTGGAAAGTAACATTTGCTTTTACATACTATGACAGCAGTGGTAGCATCAAAGTGCCCACAATCATATTAACCTACAATCCTCAAGGGTATTATTTTCCATTTATTTAGTGCATTGTTTACGTGATTATTTGGGCATTTTTCCTGGCAACAGAATGTTACTATGGGACCCAAAAACAAGCCCAAGCTGCCCATCCTCATTGTTGTCCAGAATACTATACATTAAAATGAAATATATGAACAACACTCAGTGTGTTTAACGTGCAGTGTTTTATGGAAACTGCAGTGTCAATAAAACCTGTTCACCCACTTCTTTTATTTTATAGGAAGTATAGTCTTTTTTGACACATTAACAGAAAGATAATGTCAGCTCTTCTTACAGGAACTGTATATACATTTTTTGTAAACAGCTCTTACCCCAGCAAATGTGACTGTACTGATCTGTTTGCATTGCTCATTGGCAGGGTGATCAAAGACTTCATGATTCAAGGAGGGGACTTTGTAAATGTAAGTATATGCAGTTCCCTTCTGCCCTGCTCTTGTTGCACTTTTAGGATGACAGCTAATAATTATTCATGCTTTATCCTATTTGCATTTATGGCTTGATTGAGGCTAAAGTGAACCTTTGCACATTTGTCTTGCACCATATAAATACATTTTCTTATGATGAAAATAGTGTTCTCAGAATCTTGACTATAACCTTTTCATTGAACTTTTTATCAGCAGAAATAAACCCAATAAAATTCTACTTACTGTGAGTGCTAAACTTTACCTAAATGGATTTAAAAAAGCATACATTTAAATGGAGTACTAGTATGGAGATTGACAGTAACCTTTGATAGGGTTATTGCTGTGAAACAATGTCAAATGGACCTGTAAGCATAAAGACAACATATTTTAACTGCTGGTGAACTAGCAGGATTCTTTAAATTGAAACCAACTTCTATAGAGAGGCGAAGTCACGCCCATCTACTTCCGACCCATGGGACCTTATTTCGGAAAAATAATGTATTGAAGTCAATGGGGAGAGAAAACGTATCTTTCGATCCCGTTTGAATTGTGCCATGAATTACACGTATGATGTTTGTCAATCTTAAAAAATCATTTCCATGTCAAAACAGTCACAGTTTGTCGTAAAACTGTTGAAATATAAGACTATGAAAAATACGCAACTAGAAAGACTACAAATCCCAGAGTCGTGTAAGTGATGTCATAACTGATGTCATAATTGTTTTCCTCCACTAAATATAAGAGATAGCTAAGATAAGATAACTTTAACAAGATGCCTGTGTGCTTAGTACCAGGTTGTAATCATACCAGCAATGGGTCTTGCTCGTTCTTTCGCTTCCCGTCTGATGAAAGGACCAGGGGTGTTTCTCAATGTCGAGGAAGGCTGCTCCAGAGCCACTATTTCAAGCATACTACGTCATCGAGTGCCGCCAAAGGACTGTTCCAATGTCCAGCATACTTGGAATTCTATCGAGGCCGGCGTACTTCGTAGCGAGCTATTTCGAGGCTACACATGTGTAGACCAAGCCCCCAGGAAGTGCGCCGGACTCTGAGGAAAATATTCGTTGTGGCCCAACGGCTGTACTACACTTCCGTATCAGTTGCTACCTCTTATTTTGCGTTCACACCAAAAAGAGTACTTAGTGCCGGGAACTTTTACCCCCATTTTAATGGCGCATTTCCACCATGGCGCGGTTTAAGCGTGCCGTGTCGTGCCAGGCCCGTTTTTGGTTGCGTTTCCACTATGCCTAGTTCTGGCCCGGGGCTACTTTTTCACCTTTTTTCTGGCCCGACAAAATCGTGGTTCTATCGGGGCCAACAAACAGGGCTGAGTCGGGCTGAGTTTGCTAAACTAGAGAGAGAATCGCTGGCAAGGGAGCTACAACTGCAACAAGATGAACATATTTGACCGTGATTTAATTGTAATACACGTTTCAAAATGATGCCGAAGTAACAACATACTGATACCGGTTAGTAAAAACCATGAATTAATGCTTTGACAAGTCTGCAGACAGACGGCAGGCGAAAAACCTTTTAAAATGCGCGTTGTCTAAATGGCTAAGCTAACGCAATATATGCTCCGACCGTCCACA